GTCTTCTGGGAGGGGAAGTCCTCCAACAAGTAGTTAACGAGGACGATCTTCTCACCGGGTGTCGATGACAAATGGCGTTGCCGCATCTGCGCAAAACAGCGCGTTCAGGCAGTCGGCAAGGACTACACGAACTTGGTGGACCATCTTCATCGTGCACACTCGAGCGTGACCATCAATTCTGCCTACCAATACATTATTCGGTATGGGACTGCAACCCCTGTTGTACCCACGCAAAGGGCACTCATGATTGGATCGAGTGGATCGTGATGGAGAACCACCCATCAAGCTTCTGTGAGAGCGAGAGAACGCGTAAAAACACGTCGCTGCCAATCACAAACGCGAAGGTCCTAAAGAAGTACATTACGCTGTAGTCGACGTCGTTCGTGCAGAGTTAAAGGACAAGGTGGCGGAGAAGCGTCACGGGTTGATTTTCGATGGCTGGTTGGAGAACGGATATCATTTCGTGGGGACGTTTGTCGTCATGCAGCCTGACGATCCATCCGACACAACCCAGCGTGAAATGTACTTGCTGTCGTTTAAGCCCCACAAGACACGCCACTTTGGCGCAGACGCCACCATCGATCTTTTAGATGACTTGCTTGACATGTACGCAATTGAAGCGTCTCAGTTATGCTTTCTAGTTGGTGATAACGCGAGCGTCAACGTTTCTATCGGCGAGAAGGTGAACGTTCCACTCGTGAGTTGCGCTAGCCACCATCTACACCTCGCCGCCGAGAAGCACCTCCAGCCGTACACTGAGCTGTTTGACAAGGTCTTGTTCGCGATGAAGTGTTTGAGGACGGATAAGCAACGTGCAGTTCTCCGCGAGGAGGATTTACTCATGCCGTAATGCCACCCGTTGGTCCAGCACATTTGCCATGATCAAACGTTTTTTTGGAGCTGGCACCACACCTCGACGACTCGGACGAATACTTGGCACCTCTCCTTTTGTCCGCAGAGGACAAAAACCGCCTACGCACCCTTCTGAAAGACCTTAAGAAATTTGAGTCAGTCAGCAAGAAACTACAACAAGAACAAGGGCTAACGCTTCGTCACGTGCGCGTGCTCTTCGACAAACTGCTTGCCGAGTTTCCGGATTCATGTGTGCGCCACCTCGCTTCAAATGCTCGCATTGTCGCCTTCCAAGCTTTCAGAACGGCGCCGTCAAGATTTTGAGCGGGCACGAACAAGATCTGACATCTGGTGAGCGAATTTGCTATGAAACCGTTCTTTGGCTACAACGAGACGCTGGAAGAGGAGTCGAGCGACGAGGAGCTGTCATTCGCGGATGAGGCACTTGTGGACATTGACGTGACTGCCGTGGAGTTGCCGTACGTGGGTGTCGAGTGGATTCCACCGACGTTTAATGACGTCAAGCGTTTATTCTCACAGGCTGGGTTGGTTTACTCGGATAGACGCCAATCCATGCTACCCGGAACGCTTGAAAACTTGCTCTTTTTGCAAAAGAATCGAGCTCTCTGGAATGAGGCGACCGTGGATTGTGCAGCAGCCAAGAACCCCAAAGAAGTGAAAGATTCGCGAAGCAGTCTCGCCCGACATGTAGTTACTTCGTGTTTCTGAGTATTTACGGGCTAGATGTAGTCTGCGTTGTCGAGAGGAACTGAACTCGCTGAAATGTGCTCACGAAAATTTCATATTATGCTTTTGTCCATAACAATGGTAAATGTACCCATATCCCTTGTCTAGGGCAAACTCCTGTTTCCATCTTAAAAAATGATATTGTTCCAAGCTCTGAGTAGAACCCACCGAGTCTGTTCTTGCCACATGTCAAGACCTTATTTCATACTTAAACGGGGCAGTATACGGAATTGTAAACGCTGGGCGATTTGGGGGCGGTTCATTCAAAGAACCTGAAAATTAGGCATCAAATGGCTGCTGGAATCGGTCCAATGTGTGCGAAAGACAGGTTTGACAGTCGAATATGGGTATTCCCAATAAATGTTGTAACACTTTTCGCTGTTTCGAACATTGATGCGACAGGATCATATATGGATATGAAGAGCGCAAGTTTGTTCAAATTTTTTTTTAACGTAAGTGAGATAATTGGTGGCTTTAGAAAATTCGATGGTTTATAAAAAAAAAAAAACTCGATGGTTGCCTTTTAAGGGCAACCATCGAGTTTTCTTACTAGCTAAAGCTATCATGTCATAGCAGAAATTACCGATAGGATATGATGTTAAACAGTCCGAGGGGATTGTACTGAGATAGGAAGCAACGAAGTGCTGTGTAGTACACCCCAATCTAAACAAATGTTCGCACCAGTATACCGATATCGTATCGGTGCCAAAACAGGCCTCCCGCAAAGCTTAATTGTACACCTTATCTTTGGCACTAATATACCAAATACGGGTCCTAACATGAAGTATTGCTGAACCTGTAATACTTTTGTATCCAGTAGTTATCAGGTAGCGCCAACGGGTAGAGCGACAGTCCTTAATCGCATTTATCGTGCAGTATGCCGGCGGTACCACTTTCAATTCACAGCGACAAGACTACTGTTATTACGAGGTAGTTTTTGCCAGAACGTTTACGTAGAAACGCTAGGATGATACCATCATGGCGTTTACCTGCGGTACAAGCAGTACGATGGTCTAGTATTCGAGTCGCATTCACCATACAGAGTACGACAGATTCGCCATTCCGCTAGCAGTGACATATTATAGATATAGATGTGATGACCAAAGATTTTGCTAATGAACCCTCATCCACTGGGATCCGAGGCCCCTCATTCTGTGGTCAATTGCCCAGACGACCCGCCGACTGGAGCACAACAGCACGGACGACACCGACACCAGAAACCGCCAGCACTTACCGACACCTGAGAGGCTCGTAAACTGCGGACTTCGCCATCAAGCACCAACGATTGGCGCAGCGGAGCTTGTGGCCAATTGCCGCACGCCGCGCCCCATGAGGAAAGCAGAATAGGAATAGGAGAACAACGCTTTCTGATAGACCCACTTGGCAATCTAATTGCAACGAGCAGAACGTCACACATCGAGATAGCAACTACTTGTGAGACCATCAAACCACTGTTATCGGAATTCATCTGTTTAAATGTCCTAAGCGAGCATTAATCACTATCAACTTCTTCCCTAGATCGTTATACTCGATGCTCTCGTCTTCTAGCTTGATTTGTTTGGCAAGCCCAGGTGGGCTTTTACGGTGCTGGACTCCGCCTTCGTGATTTTACCATCTTTGCGTGCAGCGTTAACCGCTTTCTTGGCTTCGATTTTCGACACTTTCAATAAACCGTCAGCAGCGTCCAGCTTCTTGATGATTTCGATGAGGCTCCCATATTTACTGCGCTCTTCATCAGCGGCTACCAAGTCGTCATCGTCTGGATCAACGACCCGAAGGAAATTTCTTCCGGGAGTCACTATTGATCAGAGCACCGGTCGCGAACTCGGGAGAGGCTTTTGACAAGAACCAAGGCTTGTCGGAATTCGTGAATGCTGCTGCGATTGAATAATGCGACTGTAAGTACAATGTAGAGCATACTGCCCATGATTATTGCGAGAGATTCTGCTGGAAGGAGGACAGAAACTAAGGAGCACCCAAGTAGAGAGCACCCAAACACAGATAGAGCGAACAGATGCATCGTAGCTGATGGGATGTGCTTCAAGATCTAAGGAAACGTTTAGTGTTATAAAGAAGACTTTCTTTCAAAGATAAAATTATTCGCCTCATCAATCGGTTGGCACAGAAAACATTATTCTGGAGCAGTACTTACAATAACCTCCTCCCCCAACTCAGAATGCTCAATGCCAATGCAAACCTCGTTGGCCCAAATACCCTAACGGATCAGACACTCCAGGCACAGGATTACAACACCGACCCTCCTCCTGAAGGTGTGCACACTTCAGAAGCTGCTGCCGAAGACGCCACCCACCAATGGACCTCGTCCAGACGCTTCCATGTATCCAGACTAAAGGTGGAGAGAAACAAGAATGGTGACATTCGAAGCAGGCTATACCCCTGTGACAGAAGCGGAAAACAAAAAAACCCTCGACATCTTCAAGAAGCGGATCGTGTTCGAACAATGCGTGGTTCGAAGCGAATGAATTGTTTTATGAGGAGCAAGATAGTAGCTGTTGATCAAAATAATGCCAAGGGGGCTTGAAAAATTGTACACACTCGAGATGGCAGCCGCATACACAACCATCCAGCCTCCTTAGATGTTCGTGTACGTTCTGGTCACCGACGCCGCAGTGCTCAACAGAGTATGAATCCAGAAATGGCTACTGTGAACGATTTGATATTTTTCAGACGGCAGCCGGCGTTTCCGTATCCAAAGTCTACGCTACCCTCTTGCTGTCCGACACCACCTCTCTTTTTATTCCCAAAGACATAGCAAATTGTAAAGACGCACGGCGCGGAGACATGTTGGCAACAGAGACCGCGATTGAAGGTCTTTTCCGGACGTTGTCGGAACATGGTTTCCACTACAAATTCGAGGTTGACCCAGAAATGCGACGAGTGAAGTATCTTTTGTGGGCACACCCTGATACTATGAACTTGCTCGACATTACATGGGAGCCGTTGTCATTTATTGCACATACAAAACCAACAAACATAACTGCCCCCCTGCAACATCATTATACTTTACCGGATTAAACAAGGCCCTCCTTCTCGCTCAGTGTTGGCTACCGGGTGAAGCGGAGCCCAACTACACATGGGCATTCAGCCAGCTGAAGTCGCTTCTCATTCAAAATGGCGTACCCATTCCTCGCTTGATCGCAACGGACAGAAACCTCGCATGCATGAATGCGAGTGATGCTGTATACCGCGGAGTTCCTAAGATCCTGTATCTCTGGAATGTCAAACGCAACGTTCTTTCACGTGTACAAGACGATCTCGGAACCATACGTCTATCGCTATCGGGGCCGAATGGCAAGATGAAACAGAACTCTGTGGAGACGGATGTCTTCATGGCAAAATACTACAAGGCCCTAGTATCGGAATCCGAATCTGAATTCAAAGAGCACTTCACTTCACTGCGAGAGCTGAGTAGCATTACCGCTGACTACCTTGATCGGACATAGAGGAAGTATAAAATCCGTATTGTCAACTTTTGGACTGACCGATTTCCTCATTTTGGTTGCCACGATACGTCAATCGTTGAAGGCACCCATGCGAAGATAAAGCGGTGGATCGAGATCTCAAGAGGGGACCTTCTAACCGTTTTCGTAAAGCTCCTTCCCTGGTGGATCGCGTCCGCTAAAGCCATCAGCCTTCAGTCCACACAAGATGCCACAACACCGCCTCACAGGCTTTAACACGATCCGTAATCTGCAGTGATCCGAGTTATATCAACATACGCATTGACGAGACGGACCAGCTCTGGAAAGCCGCTCGCAAGTTGGTCACTTCCGGTGGTGACAAAACCCCATGTTCAGGGGTCTTTCAGCGCACCCATGGAAGACCGTGTATTTACCAACTAACGGAAATTTACGAGTCCAATGAAGAGCAGAAGATCTTGTTTGACAAGCATTGGCGGATACTTTCAAATAACGCTCGGCTTAACAACCGTGTTTTGGAGCCAGCCAACTTGCAAACCAGGCACAGAAAACCCAGGCTACCAAACCAACACACGGCGTGTCACGGTGTAAGTAGCACACGCCGAGAACCATCGTGGTTTGAGAAAGACGACCGCTTACACAACGCAGCTCCACAATATTTTTCTTTTCAAGCGCTCCTCTAGGAAGATGATACCGATAGTACAACGTATCTTCCACCGCCATCATGGGGTTACGCAGGCTTTATATTCATTTCAATAGTGAAGCCTAATAATAATAAATATCCAGAGAACAAAAAAGCAAACATAATACCACCGGGGGGAATTGAACCCCCCTTCTTCCATTTCGGGAGCTTTTCCATTAAGCTATGGTAGTGCACTAAAAAAAATCAACAACATTTTTTGTTAATAAACATATCGCAGTAGCTCAAGAATAAAAAAAAAAGTGTCGCTTACCATTAATTGTCTGACGGGGAATTAACGGCATGCCGCGACAACCCTCTTAGGACAAAAGTTCCCACTCAATTTGCCCTTCGGCAGTCAATCAGACAATGAGGTAGAGGCTGGAAAAGCAAGATCGATTTTTCAACGTTTTCCAGAGTAAGTTTCCCGAATTTTTTTTGTCCGTCAATCGGAAAACAATTGATGGGGATTACCCTCTTATTGATAGAGATTGACTTAAAGATATTGCTTCGCATCTTATATTTCACTTCGACGTGTAGCATCTGTCTGTAGCTATCTGTCAGTAGCTGCTCTATCTATGTTTGGGAGCTCCCTACTTGGGCTCCTTAATTTCTCCCTCCCTCCCCCCCATCAAGCTCACCTCGATCGTGATGGATGCGGCTTACCTTCTCTCTGGCCATGCATATGACCACTCTCATCTTCAGCTGGATGACCTCTACGAGTGCCGAAAAAGCGAGCCTCACAGCAGCATTGTATTTACGTCGAATACCAAGCCTATCGACTCCAACAGCAACACGCATCATCTCAGAGGACGGAATGTAAAGGAAAATGAAGCAAGAATAATGCCACCTCTGTCAGGGTACGTAAGCTCTGCGAATCTTTCGAATAAAATTCCGGCACTGGTACCGATGAGCTAATCTATACCGCCGTGGTTGCCAAAGTGGGGAACACTTCTTATACTTCTGGCTTCCACTGGCTTGCTAACGACTGGGATGATTTCGAATCTCAAGAATGTGTTAGGAATCATCTAAATAGTGGGGGCGGAAGAGGACGACATCAATTGGGAGAACCTAGAAGTCTGGTGTTAGTCGTTTAATAAAATTTAGCTATGCCTTCAAGGGTTTGTTTGATGCACTTATGTGTATAATATCGTTGTGTCACGATGTTTCCAGCACTTTCTCGTAAAACACCATTTCATTTTAAACCAAAGTTATCTAGTAATATCCATCTAAGTTGCCACTCGCTGATATTCGGAGTGATTCGATTAAACAAGTGTAGTAGATGCAAAACACATATAAACACCAACAACACGCGAGCTGTTCGTGGTTGTCACCAAGAGCGGGAGTTCTATGCTATAATATCTACATGGCACTTTAGCATTGCTACGGCGTTTTCTACCTAAGTGTCGCTCAGAACGCTTTCTGAATGTCATCATTCAAACGTTTACGATTGCGTTCGCTTTTTACGTGCAAGAATAACCAATTCCGGGCATGTTAACGACGACGAAAATAAAGAGAATACTTACTTCGATGAAAAAAATGTTATGGTGCCGTCGAGTGACAAAATACTTCGGCGCTACAACTGTCCATGTAATGTCCAAATATTACGAATGTATTTGTTTTGGTCATTCGTGTTGTTCATGTTTAGTCCATGCATTGCCTAAGTCGTGTCGTATATATCCATGTATCGTGTTGCTCATGTTTGTACGTATATTTTACATAGCATTCTATTTTTTTTATATTTGTGCGATATTTTGTGAACAAATCAAGTTACAATAAAGAACATGGCCCCCTGGGGAGCAAACGGACTAAACGTCCACGTTCTACTCCGCTGCTACACTTACACTCATTCTAGTTAATAAAATATACGTGCCAATCATAAAGCTGATTCCATCCATTCAACAGATTCTTGGCTTGCCACGTATATCTATCTGTTTTGTTTTCTGATGACATCAGCTTAACACGAATACAGTAGCTACGACCAGCTGGTCAATAAAAACTAGCGTTTACATCATATTCGTTTCTATCAGCTGTTCAGCCCCATTCTGGTCCAGACAATGTCAGCGATACGATTTTAAAGATGGTAATGAAGATTGGAAAGTTTTGTTGTTGTTGTTGAGGATAGTGGAAACAATGAGAACGAATCTGGCTTCCCCACAAGACTTTATTTGGCACCCAACGAGCTCGAATTTGCGCGCAGGTCGTTTAATACTTAGATGCAGTGTATATATATATTCACAAGTTTATATTGATACAGACGCTTTTTGACAAGGTTATTGTAGTTGTGATAATATTGATTGTGAAGGTCTCGTCGCCGACAATTCATATTCAACATATACAGTCCGAGGCCTGTATTTTAAAGTGCTTGAGACCCTAGACGCACGACACCGAAGTTGCAGTGGTTATACCTCAGAGTGTTCAAAGGTCTCAAGTGCACTTGGAGCCGGAACTAGTTTTAACTGGAACTAGTCTATACTAATTCCCGCTTCATAATCTTATGAAATATCTGGTTCAGACTCCCATCGGTTGTGCATTTTTCTGCTGTCATACAGCACTAGTGTTTGGCCCGTAGTCCTGCGTCCTACAAAATTTTCACGTGGCGGTGCTCTGCGCGCTATTGTACTCCGCATATTTCATAATACCAAACTTTAGCACACAATAGATATTCTATGAAAACCAATATCGATAGCTAGATATATAGGGTTTTCTCGTCCGAAAATGAGGTCGGTTTTAGCTAATTCGCAGTAGTTTTAGCGCTGTGGGCTCTCAAAATAAAAGGATATCTGAAGTTCTAAATTGCTCGTCGGCTGATCTGGCCTCGTTATGCATAATATAAGAGCTATCATTGGTTGATAATGAGATTCGTATGGTTTTCATGAGAAAGACACAGTACGACTCGTGTCACATCGTGATGTGCAAATCAACAGCAAGATGAAATCGCGAATGAAAAGTATATATTTATAAAGGTGCATCTTTAGCAGTTAAAGCTTATCAGGCTTGATGTAGGCATCCTCGTTCTTCTGGACGTGGCGGTAAACCTTCAGCCACTCGTCATCGCACTCCTTCAGACCTTAAAGTACCTTCTTGAACACATCAGCGTCGCTTTATGGAGGCTATTCGGAACAGGCTTTAGGAATACAGCACCAAAATATTAGATGTTCAAGGTAATTGATATGTAACTGCTAAATATCAAATGCATAAAGTTCTACCTCAAAGTCGGTCTTCTGACTCGCGTTGTACACTGCAATTACGCGTGCTACCGTGTACGTTGAACAACCAAGGCACTCAGCAACAAGTTCCCTAATGCGCTTTCCGCTCAATAGCCCGTGTTCTTTCTGTAGGGCGAAAAAGGTGTAGCTCCTCACTATCATTTTATTCTCAGCACTAGTGAACTCATGTCGCTCGACGTGCATTTTTTTTCAAAATGAACGCATGATAAGGACAAACGCGAGGTTGGAGTCGATCAAGGAGACTCCATTGCTGGTCCTAATGTTTGTATACGATCAATATTCGCTGCATAATAACATTAAACCTGACCGGTTAAAATACCCGGTATCATGAATATGCAGAGTACAATACTGCAGAGTGACCGCATCATCCGCGATGATGATGGGAGTTTATGTCCCCGTCATCAACACGGTATTATGCAGTACTCTATCTAAACAACACAGTTCTCTCGGCGAGGATACTCCCTGTCAACGAAGCTCTTTGTCATTCTTCGTTTTTCAGCCATTAGCACACTCGCTTCTCCTCATTCTTGCTCGGATGAAATTCATCACTCTTCTATCCTTTGTGGCCACCGTCGTCGCTACCGCCAGTGCCGGCAATTTCGCCAATCTTCGCAAGCCCGAGTACGACCCCGAGTCACTCGACAGTAGCGACAGCGATGACTGCCCCCAGAAATGTTATGTGAAGAAGTACGACGGCGTTGTGCACGAGAAAAAGTGTTTGGAACGATTTGCGGAGTGCATGGACGACCCCAAGATCACCGTGTCATCGCTCATCGACATTTTCGTAAAGGTTGATAGCTTTGAGGCCACCTACACATTGGTTCGCAGTGGTGGTCGCAACGAGTTTATCCTGGAGAATGTGCTACTGCCCGAAGGCACGACCGTTAACGGGCATCCTATCACGACTGAGAAGGATTTCCGAGATTTCATCAACAAGGCTTAGATCTCTGCAAGAAGAGACTGGCAGCTCACGAAAAGACGGCAAGGAATGTTCCTCAGTAAAAAAAATTGAAGGAATTGAACATAAAACCATCTTCACGGTGTTTATTTTTGTTTTGTTTGGTAAATAGTGAAGCTCCACAGCTATTCGGTAATTCTTCTGCAAAGACAATCTAATTGGACTAGATTTCCTTTGGTAGAACTAAAGACTAGTAGGCACCATCTCGATCTTCGACAAGTACCCCTGTAGTTGACCAATGCAATCATCGAGAGCGTTACTAGTAGTACTACGTATTAATAGTATTATAGCTAACACAAAGAAGTCTGAGAGCACACAACACTATTAGTTTTTAACCCAAGATTGAAACGATCACAGTTAAGGGAGGATTCGGTGTTTCATTTCCCGAGAAGTAAAAGCTCGCGTATTATTCGCATAATTACACAAATTCATGGAGGGCGATTATATCTAGTGATACAGTATAGTGATGGTCACCAGCATCGATATCTGTGTTACTTTAACTAGATCGTCTGTGGGAATACCAGTTTTTATTGAGTTTTATTTATATATTGCTGTGTTTTTTGTGCTATCCGGGAAATGTTGCTCTGCGATTTTAGCTACAACCAGTATTGCTTCAGCGGTGGAGAGCAAACAGTACTTCACAATTGCTAACAGAGGTTGGACAAAAATATCAATAATAAACTATTGTAGATTATGTACTCGAAAACGCTACTGTCCAGGTTGTTTTTACAAAGCCAAGATGACCGTTGGTCAGGTTGTAACCTGGTCAATCAAAAGTCAGCTTAAAAGATAAAAACAAGAAACGAAAAATATCCCTCTACCCGCACCCTAGCCCACATCACTCACCAAAACGAGTGACAGCCGCCCGCTGTGCTCATCATTTCTGAATTTTCTGTCAACATATAACGCGCTGGTCACATTCAACAACGGTGCACTTTAACCCGCACTATGCAGGATTGTGGGACACGAGAGGTTGCTCACGTATCTCCTCTGAATGCCAACCAAGACAGGAACATGAGTGACGGCCATAGCGCTAATTAAATCTAAACACAATGGACGCCTTCCAAATATCACATAACTGCCCGATTTATTTGCAGCAGATATGTCAAGGCATAGGCGCGCATACCCCGACTCGGAGGCGTAGATTTCGTGCCAATAGATTTACCTACCCCTAAAGTTATGTCATGTAGCCATCTTAACAATTTATCTTGAAGTTTGTATTTTTTATGATGAGCTTCATTCCTGCGCATGTCACACTCACTCTAGTGACTTAACTTGAAGGCAATATATATATATATATATATATATATTTCGCCTCCTCAAAAGCTCACTCACTTTTAATTCTGCGGCCGAAATAGGCAAATACAGCAGCGGCAGAGGTTCGATGATTTCAAGTATGTTCGAGTGTTTGCTAATTATATGTGCGTCGTACAGGAGCGTGGTGAACCCAATCTACTCCGCAGTCCTCCGTAGGCGTCAGCGCATCGTCGACGATTCCTCAAGTGACTACGCCTCCCAACGTCATGTTTGCATACCATCTGGAAGAGAGCTCATCGTCCAGTACGGACGCTGGGTTTGTAGCATCACCGTGGGTGTCGTTGGGTTTGCAAAAGTGCGCGTTTACCGGGCACCCCACTTCCACCGCCGAGCACGCCACCTCTGTCTCCACCTCCAGGATCCCGCCAGTACCGCAGTCCGACCACGTCATCTCCAGTGCTTCTGGAAACGCCTCAACGATCGCTAGCACGAGTCGTGTGGCGAGTAATGTAGTAATAGCGGCGAAAGCGACGGAGTAGTTGTTGGTAAGCCGACCTGTGGTCATGAACTAGTTACAAACCACTGTTTAAACATCATTGCCCCTCAAATATTTCCATACCTGTTCAAGCTAGTAGCGTTCAGGAAGTTAACGTCGTTGTCATACGTATACAGCGCCATCCACGCTCAGCGACTTGGCGTGTCCAGGCACTGAGTGGTCAGGTAGTGCCTGGATCGCATTGCGATCTTCCATTTCTCCTCCACCAGCACCTCGTACACCTCGCGGAGAGCCGCGTCCAGCTGTTTGCCGTGCGCAACAAAGACCTCCATCATAGTGAGAGCGGCGTAGTCCGCCATCGTACTTCCACTTGTGTCCTGCGCGCTCAAATTCCGAAGTACTGACATTTAGAAGGTCATCGCCCTTGCACTGTACGGTGCAAAGTGACAAATACATTTCTAGCAGCTGTAAATTCCAATTCTAACTTCTAATTTGAGACAGTCATAATCGGACACGACTTACTGTTCAAAGTCATTTGCGGTGGAGACTTTTACCGATATGCCACCATATATCTTTTTAAAGCCCGTCATATCTGCTGCAGATTTGACACCCGAAAATACAATTTTGGAAGGCGTCCAATGGACGGCAATAGAAGCGGCATACGACATAGAGGCCAACATGGACGCCTACAAAGGCGACATCCCGGTCACCAATATGCAGTAACCTGAACGCCAACACGCAAGCAACCTGAACGTCACCAACAGTGACACGTCTCCGTTGTGGGAGCGGCGCTTCGACGCGGGAGGCTGCTTCGTCAGACCCAAAGACCTTTACATTGGTGGCAGTCTTAAAAGCAATTTGTGCTTCAACCTTGACGGCGAAATGGACAGCAACATCGACGCCAACGTGGAAGCCAATATGGACGTCAACATAGGATACAACATGGGCGACATGGACAAGCAACATGGACGCCCACGCCCACATGAAAGAACGATTTTTCAGCTGTTACTTACGAATTTTGTGTAATGATCTCTCCTCCTCTACCTTTCATGTTCATCACATACTTCTACTTCCAAGATAGCGCCTTTGTCTGCGTAGCGTCAACTTGCAATTACCCACGTTCCGTACCCAACTAATGCCAGCCCGACCGTCTTTGCCTGCGTCCATTTTACACTTCACCTTTGTGTGAAGTACACGTAACGCCGTCGGCAGCTATTCGTTCGCGTTTTGCAGCGTCAGGACCCGCAGCTGTCCTCTAGCGAGTCGTTGCTCAGCTCCAATATGCCCGTCTGCACAAATTTATAGTTTATAGTACCAAATAAGGAAGGTCGTTATCGGCGACTTGAACACAACTATCGCAATAATAGATGCTCATGATTAGCTAGATATCTTATGTGGATTAGCATTGTAGAATCACACGCCTTTGGAGCTAGGCCTCCCAACGTTTAAGCGAGAGTATAAGACGATGCAAACGAAGCTTCATGTTGATGTGCGCAGATGAATAGAAATCTAAAAGTGAAATCAATTGAGTTAAAGATACTAGTCCTGCTTGTTTCATCCTACAGTGGCATTTCCCCTAGTACCTCCTTGCTGGCATAACTCTTCGCGTACAGTAGTTGAGTACCCTGGAACAGGGAGATGTTTTACAACAGCGAGATGTACACAAAACCCTCGCATCTGTGTACATAATTACCCATGCAAATCCCAGCCAGTATGCAAACTACAATCAGTATGGTCCAATGAGGTCGCAGGATTTTCCCACACTTCAACTAGAGAGCCACATCCCACGCGTGCGTACAGCGTGCAAAGGCAGGAATCCAGTCGAGTAGACAGCTAAGTGCAACCACACGTTTTGCTGTTAAACGTTAGTTCAACCATAATAAGCCTTTTGCGACTCTCTGCCTTTAATATATATTAAACAAGTCTAGGTCATTTATTCTTATAGGACAAACCCTAAACCCTTTTCCCAGTATAACGGTACTCGTTTTAAAATGTATCTTGTAACAAAGCATTATAAATGCTATAATGATATAATCAGTTACAAGAATAATACATTATTAAAGTTGATCTAGGTGATTACATATCGCACTAGATATATTTGTTTTGCACCAGATCATTTGAACGCTTGTAAAAAGACGAAAAATCATCTTTTGGAAACTATTTCCAACATGTCTTTGCACAGAACCCTAAATGGGCGAAATATGCGCCCTTGTACCCCGAATGGTTTAATAGATACGTTATCATTAGGGTTACCGGCCTTGCTCAACAATTGGCCGCCACGTGTTGCTCTGACCCACAAGAACTAGCGTTATGTTGCAAGCAATGGCTTCAAAACTGCACAATTTGTAAGGTCAGAATGGGCGAATCACCCAACTGCGATACGTTGCTGCATACTACTGTCGTATAGGCTTCCCGTTCGAGGCTAACTCTGATACAGACATAACCGAGTTACTATAGAAGCCGTCGTCTGAAGTCCAGTTCCACCAAGAGCTGAATTGTTTCTTAGCAAACGCCTATGTATTCTCAAGAAAATTTTCTTTACACTCCTGGCCTGCCTCCACGCCAACCTCAACCTACTCCATCCGTTATCATTAACAAGCAAGGCAACACCACTGCGGCGTTCCCCTCAGCTCCTGTACATGCTTATGCCGAATCTCTCCCCGAACGTATTGAAGAATCAAGTAAATTGTTTGTAATGACACGAGCACATAAATCGATGGAAATGTATATAATAACGGCGTTTGTGATAGGAATCAGATCACAAATAATAGCACCTTTTGATTGGCTAACAATGTTTTTTTTGTTATGGCTACGTGGTATTTACTATATAGTATTTTTTTTACGATACTGGCAGAGTTTGTTGTAGAGCGTACCACACGACAACCTCTGGTGTACAGTTCGATAACATCATCGCGAAAGAAGTATGAAAAACTTTGTAATCCGCGGGAATTTCTAACACTGACACACTAGTCAATCCAGAAGGAAATAGTTGAGCTTCTTTTGCAAGCTGCTCCAAATGCTCCATCACTATTCTAATCCGAGTATGTCTCATTTGATGCTGCGGCAAAATATCGCATTGTTTGTTGAGCAACCTGTAAGGACGGATTCCAACATCTTTATCTCCAAAGAACCACAAATTCCATAGTAGTTTTGCGTTTACTCGCACAGGAAATTCCCAGTCTTTGGGAACATTATTGCAAATTTGGCCGTCGTTCCATGACCATGTTTGCCAGTTGTGCTGTCCGTTTGTGGTAGTAGGCTCTGCGGTAGTGCGTGGTATTTGGATGTCTAGGAGTGCGCGAGGGCTTCGTTGTTGCGCTTGGAGCGTGCCATTTCCAGTTGTTGAAGTCTTAAAAGTCGTATAAAAAAAGCGTGATTATTTTGTTATCACAAGTGCCATAAATCTAGCACATTAAGTATGCACAATACTGAAGCCAAGTAAAACCCTTTAGATTCGCATTAGATTTCAGGCATTTATGATATTCAGGGTATCATACTCCCCTACCAGCACATCATGATAATATCACAAGTGCAGGAGATGTAAAATTTTAGTTTATAATAACGATGTGCATCACGAGCACACGAGTAGAGCTGAACCTCCAAAGACGCTGTGTTTGCATATGCGGAAATCGCAGCTGCGAGATAACTTAAAGGTATCGACGCCATGAGTGATCATATAGATGTGCTACTGAAGGCCGAGCAAGTGGTAGCCGAGGAAAAGGCGATGTAAGCTAAATGGCGCCTTCAGAATGCTTTGAGGAGGCTCCGGATGTCTCTAAGCGGCTTGGTAGATACACTACGCTGGCTCAATAGAGCTATGCTAAACATCTATTCTCTTTAAATGGATTGCAGAGACTACCAAATGACATTCAAGCAACATACTAAAACCGAGAAGAGGTTAATATTTTTGCTTGATCCCATAGCAGCAGTTGTAACGGTACTTGGGGTTGTTATTATCCAACTTAGGACTAGCTCTGCGGCGAAGCAAATTGGCTATCAGTAATCAGTCAAAATTCGCGAGGTAGGTTACACTTGTCGGATGTCAGCACTACAAATTGGAGTTAATGGCAACGATGGACAAAGTATGTGAGACGATCCTGCTCCTCTTCAAGAAGCAAATGGTGGGAAAGAATATTGAGCTTGCCTGGATTTCACTTCTAGACCCACGATTTCACAAAATGAAGCTTTTCAACCCGGACAAAGTTCAGCTTGCCAGAGAGTGTCTACGTGACGTAATTTGGTGGTAGAACCCGAGATCAGATATCACACACGACGACTTTTGAAAACTGTGCCGCGACGCTGTGGCACGACAAGCTCCAGTAGATGACACGGATTGTATGTGGGACGATGGTATAGGCTCGGGCGACGAAGGAAATACTGTATACACAAGTCTGGATCCTACACTTGAGACACTGCACACGACATGCACAAGGTAGTTTGCAGCAGGCCTCGGAAAATACAGTAAACTACGGAACTGGAGGAAATGAACAGCAGTAGTAATAACTGCAATAGCAAACAACAACAATAATAAATGACTGGGACAATATTAGTATATTGCAGTCGCGGCTGTGTGTTCTAGCACCATCTACTCACCTTGCTCGATGAGCGACGCAGCGTTCCACATCTCCCGGTTAACGCGCAAAAAGGCGATCGTCTCGAAGTTCGCGGGCAGCATACAGCTGCGGTGCGGGGTCATGATAAGCTTGCACGACGAGAACAGCCGCTCGACCGTATTCGACGTGGGCGGCACCAGCTTCGCCAG